ATTTTTTCTCTAGTTACTACCCGACATAATTACAAGCCACACAAAATAGCCGACACGAGCGGGAGCTGTTCCGATAATGCTGTAAATTCTGACGATTCTAGCAAAAAAATAGTGAAGTTGAGTCGACAATCAATGACAGAGACAGTGACCCATGTAAAATCTAGGAGTGACTCAAGTGATGAAAATACAGCAGTATATATTTTTCCCAAATGTGGCTTGTCACATTATCACCATTCAAGAATGAAGCGTAAAACGTGGCTTGTTATAATATTGCATTATGGCGTAGGTGAGTGAATGAGAAAGAGGAAAAGAACAAACACATCCGAAAGAAATTCCAACAAGTCGATGGAGACAAAGATTCAATAGTGTTATTCGAGATCAAGAGGAAAAACTAGACTATAAATTGAGGGCAACAATTTGTAAGATTTTGGGTAATCATTTCAAATGGAATGATGTAACAAGCCACATTTTTTTCAAATGAAGCCTGTTTCTCCTTATGTTTTAATTTTTTTAATATTCTTGTTAATGATAGTCCAATAGGACATAACGCATCGACCTATATGAGACTAAAGCAATTGAAGTTGTAACTGGATTTTTTATATTATCGCTATAACTTTCGAAGTCGAATATCTCATTTTCACCTTTCTGAGGCTTGTCACTGTTTCACAATGAGTATTCAATGCATATGGGTGTTCCCCTTATGCGCTTCCAAACGCATTCGAATTGAGAATGGCAAAATCCATTTTGTCTTTGTAATTCTCATATTCCGTATGGGAAGTCGGCAGCCTTATTTCGATACAGCACGTGCTGACGGTGGGCAACATGGCTTGTTCATACAAGAATGAAATTCTTGGACTGACTGAAAATCCCCTGGGAGGTATAGAATCAGCACCAGTAGCGAAAATCAAAAAAGTTCGTAGAGTTACAGAACTCTCTCCGTCTGAAATTAATCACGTTATGGGTAAGTACGGGATAATAAACGATGGTACATTATGCCATCGAACCAACAACTACAGTTGTTGCTCTATAATGAGATGAGGAGAAACAAAAAATGAATTTGTTGATTTTTATGTGACCAATTTTCGCAATTTTCTTTCGAAAATCATTTCATGGACAGAGATGTTTCAAAGGATTCCGATACCCCTTCAATAACAATGTTCAAACTTAGGTACTTAAAAACACCATCCATCCTTCTCAAAGTGGTCAAACATCAAATTTGAGGTTGACCAACTTGGTGTTTTGCTGTTTTTTTTTTATTTTTGTATAAAAATTCTTGCGATGTATATTACTAGTTTGTTTCGTGACAATTGTGATTTTTTCTAGAATGCCCTTTTGATTTTTCAACAAACTTTCCTAAAATTCTGCCAACGAAATGAAAAGCAATTTTTCCTCAAAAAAATATGCCAAAATATCCATGTTCTCAGGAAAAAGAGTCCGATGACGTCATTACTTCAGTTTCCAAATATGCGAAAATATGCTGATTTGCTCAAAATTGACCTCATTCAATTCCATTTGAGGACATCTATTCAGATTTTTTTATCGTTTTTACGAAAGCAACTGCGTTTTTGTTTTATTAGATAATTTTGAAAAAATATGTAAGTACATAAAATCCTACAATTCTTTCGTGCGCTCCAAGCGATAAAAAACAATATATAGTTGACGGGATAGTTCCACATGTATTCGTGAAGACTCTGGAGACATGATTGTAAATCATGAAAATTATCCATTCCTCGAAGTGGTCCGAAGTATTTTCATAAGACAAATCAACAAAACCCAAAGTCAGTCGACCACCTTATACAGGGTGTTCCATTGGGAAACGGAAAAAATTCAACGGTGAGTAGAGCTCATCAAGGTGGTTCTGAATATACCCTATTTGTAGAGGCCTCACAAGTTATATCCGAGATATAGGGTGTTTTATCAATTTTGCCCAATTCTTTGTGAGGACATAACTTACGAACCACTTGGTATATTCTTTCGCATTTTGGTACACAATTCCTTCTTTCTCTACCAAAGCAACTCACCTATCAGTCACGAAAAAAATCCAGGTCCGGATTAACAAAAGTAGATAATATTTCTGGACACCAAAAAGAACACCCTGTATTTTCGAAATCTCAAAATCCGCTTACATATTTGGAAAGTGCACAAAAAGCTGAACCGAATGGTGTACTTGTCATTTTTCCGCATGCAATTTCACTAAGGAACTTCTTATTTTGAATTCGAGTTTTTATGCATTTGGATAGGTAAAAATACTATGTTTAGAGTTTTCCCAATCGAATAACAACAATTATCACGAACCACCCAGTATATTCTCTTGGAAGTTGGTACACGAGTTCTCCTTATTCTATCCAAGCGCTGCACCTATCATCCACGAGAAAAATCCAGGTCCGGATTAGCGAAAATCAATCATATTTCTGGACCCCAAAAAGAACACCCTGTATTTTCGAATTCTCAAATCCGCTTACATATTTGGAAAGTGTACAAAAAGCTGGACCGAATGGTGTACTTTTCATTTTCCCACATGCAATTTCACAAAGGAATTGCTGATTTTGAATTCGCGGTTTTATGCAATTGGATAGGTAAAAATAACATGTTTTGAGTTTTCCCAATCGAATAATATTATGGTTCGTGATATTATATTTTTTCACAATTTGGTACACGTATTCTCCTTGATCTACCCAAGCACCTCACCTATCATTCACGAGGAAAATCCAGGTCCGAATTAACGAGAATTAATCATATTTCTGGGCCCCAAAAAAAACACCCTGTATTTTCGAATTTCCATAATATGCTTACACATTTGAAAATTGCACAAGCTGAATCGGATTGTCTACTTTCCATTTCCATACGAATGCTATTTCACTACTGAATTTCTGATTTTGAATTTGAGGTTTCATGCATTTGTATAGGTATAGAAATCGAGGTAAGATGGAAAGTTTTGAGTTTTCAGAATAAGGAATTAATTAGTGAATGAACATGCGGGATATTGAAAAGTACACAACTCGATTCACCTCTTTATGAACTTTCCAAATATGGAATCGGATTCTGGAAATTCGAAAATACTGAGTGTTCTTTTTCGGGCTCAGATCATAATTTTTCGTTAATCCGGACATGGATTTTCATCGTGACTGATAGGTGAGTCGCTGGGGTGGAAGGAGGAGGAAGAATATACTGGGTGTTTCGTGATAGTTTCTGTTATTCGATTGGGAAAACTCAAAACATTTCATTTTTACCTATCCAAATGCATGAAACCTCTTATTCAAAATCAGAAATTACCTAGTGAAATAGCATGCGGAAAAATGGAAAGTACATCATTCGATTCAGATTTTCATGCACTTTCCAAATATGTGAGCGGATTTTGAAAATTCGGAAATACAGGGTGATATTTTTGGGGTCCAGATATATGATCAATTTTCGTTGATCCGGTCCTGAATTTTTCTCGTGACTGATAGGTGAGTCGCTTTGGTAGAAGAAGGCGAAATTGTGTACCAAATTCCAAATGAATATACTGGGTGGTTCGTAAGTTATGTCCTCACAAAGAATTGAACAAAATTGATAAAACACCCTATATCTCGGATATAAAACTTACGAGACCCTACAAATATTGTACATCCAGAACCACCTTCATGAGCTCTACCCACTGTCAAAGTTTTTCCGTTTCCCAATGGGACACCCTGTATAACAAACTTCAAACAAATGTTGCCGGTTTCGACACGACGGCCATCACATACAGATTAGTATAATATATTTTTATATAAGAATTTCTTGACGTTGTATTATACATGGAGTTTCATTAATACTGCAAGAAACTTCGAGATCATATTTTTTTTAGTCGAAATATTAAAAAAAGTTCGAATAAACATATGTCCTAAAACGATTCGTTTCCGAAATTCAGGGTGTAGAAATTTCTTCAAAACATCGATTTCTCATTCTAAATTTCTAAAAAATGTTCAAAAATGAATAAAACGATAGTGATAAAAGTACAAAACTACCAACCGTATTATCTTTTGAATGAAACTTTAACTCAAAAAATGAATCAATCAATTCTTGATTTTCACCAGTGGCGTCCGTACGGGGTTTGGACTGACAATTTCCGAAGAAGAAAATAGTACGCCACTGATTTTTCTAAGAGCCAATTTTTTTTTTCAAATTCCCATTCATTTTGGAGCAAATTTGGTTCCCAGACTTACTTTCATACGACGTACTGTTTTCGCGTAAAAAAATAAAAGCCAAACAATTTTGTTCTTTTCAGTTTTTGGACTATGGGTGGAAACACATTTTGTTTTGAGACGAAAATCAAACTTCCACTTTCAATAGTGATATCTACGTAGACCTGATATCAAATGTATTGCTTAAAAAAAATGTACGATGTACGCTTCTAATTTCAACACCCTGTAGCTCTAAAACTAAGAGGTTTAGGACATATGTTGATATGAACTTGTCTCCTTAAAATCATCCAGGGATTATCGCCCTTTAAGATCAGCACTCAATTATGAAACACCCTGGATAGGTGATAATTTGTCTGATGATGGCCGTCGTGCGGAAACCGGTAACATTATTTCTTTGAAGTTTCTTGAATAAAGTAATTATAGTCGACTGACGTTGGGTTTTGTTGTTTTTTCTTATGAACATAATTCTGAAGTATAGGAACTTACTAGTCACAATATTAATAATCGAGTAGTTAATCAATAACAAACCTTCACAATCCTGCAAATAATCGTTAAAAAAATAAACTGTTCGATTCTCCTGTTGGCGTTTGTTGGAGCCCATGGGACTATACTCAATGCAATGAAATAGTTTCTGAATCCCTTCAGCACTGAGGGGTGGTTTTCCCATGCTAAAGAGAGGCCTATACAAATCAGGGTACTTAATCATCTGATCTAGAACACCACAGGTTTTCAATCCTGAAACCAACTGCTGTAGGGGTTCCTGAATCCTGTAGTATGCATAAAATTTTATAGTATCTAAAAAATAAGTAACTATGCCATGTCATTACAAAAATACTACCAAATTGTGGTTCTACCTTCTATAATGACATCCTTATCTTCCTTTTTTGCGATGAAATGGCAACCTGCTGTGGCAAAAATTGTATCAGACAGTATGATGTCTCGAAGTGTGGATAAATCATCCTCTCCTTGGAATATTTTCAACTTGTCTGCAATTTCTGGTTCTATGTCTCGCATGGTGAATGTTGTTTTATCAACGCCATAAACCAAGAGACAATATAATGTTTCTGAAAAAAAATGTGGGCCAGATCCTCCATGTACTAATGACAAGGCTATTATTCTGCCTGCTTCAAAGTAACTATTATTTTTCAATGCTGTATTATTCAGAGATAAATATTTCATTGGTTCTCCAGTGAAGAGAGAACTCTCTGCTAAGGAGTTTAAGAGGAGGCGGAACATTTCCCTTGTCGGGCCTCCTTCATCCACAGCACCTTCGGTCTTTTCATCTATATCCGTGAAATCCACCCGTATTTTATGAAATGGTTTGAAGTTTTTGCGTCTCAAAGCTCTTAAACAACACCCGAATACATCTTCTCGATAAACATGTATCCTGGTCGTGTGGGTAGATATGATTTGCTGCTGAAGGTTGGTCAAACTTTTATCTAAGGAAAAATTCGCCGTTAAATCGGCGATTTCATTCGCGATTATATCTTCGGTTTCATCTACGGCAACGGTATCAACTGCAGTTTCATCTCCGGATGAGTCGAATATTTCATTAACCAATCTTGTTAGTTCTTCTGATGAGGTAACAGTGTCTTCATTTCCAATGACCGTTGGGGTAGTTACGCAGTTCTAAAATTTGTACAGGGTGAGAAACACTCGATGTCTTAGCTATATGATGAAAAATGGAGAAACGATAAAAGAAATCTGAAATTTTATGTGGTGAATTCTTCAAAAATTTTCCAGATTTTTTTTCTATCATTCTATCTTTTTTTATAATAGAGCTGAGACATCGAATTTCGCTCACTCTGTACAATAATAAGACACATTTCAAAATTTGGATAATAAAAGTCATCATGGTAGCTCACCTGAACGTCAATATTATCCACAACAGATTTAAAGAAGGCGTCAAATTCTTCGTCATCCTTCGAAGTTTCCATATTTGTTAGATTGTTGGCATCTGGGTTCTCCATAATATCATCTCTTATTTCTGTGACAATAGTTTGTTCGTGGTTTATTTTTATTTCTGACGATTTCTTAGATCTAGTCTTTCGTGGCAATTTACCCCTGAATTTCTTCATTTCGCCTTTGGCTGGCTCAAACGAATCCTGGCGCGTTGCAAGATAGAATCTGAGCTTACTTAATTTAGTTATATCAAAATACTCGTGAATTTTTAAAGACTCGTCCAGTTCATTCATTTTGAAATCCACCATTTCAACTGAAGTAAATTCAGATAATACTCCTTTAGGGGAACGGCCACCTGGAAAAAAAAGCTCAATTGCTTTTTCTTTGAGGTCCCTCACTGGAGCATCGCGACCGAATTGTACTTGTCTAGTACCCCCTCCTTGGAGTTTTCTTACGTAATGGAAATCCCCACGCCCAACTGCATGCATCCAACCTAATTCAACCATTCTCGTGTATTTTCGATGTGGTTTGCCACTCGAGCCTGCAGAGCCTGAGGGGGCCATTGAAGAATTTTTTTCTTCAATCTTATGCTTTAATCTATCGATGAGACTTTGTCTCTTTGGTGCGATATGGCGTTGGCAGAAATTCATCACCATTACTCGGTCTCCCATTCTAGGAAACAGTTCATTGAGTCGACTGTCTTCCATTATGACTATACATGATGGATCAATCTGCAATATGCACATTATCAGTAACTATATTACCTATGTATTTTTGTAATTTTAACCAGTAGCTTATTTGTCATCAAGCGAGTGAGACACATGTTGTTATACAGGGTGTCCGAGGATGCACCCGACAAAACTTATGGGATTATAGGGTCTGCCAATATGATTGCAAAATGCCATATACAAATGTCCAAAACCTCTTCGTTACTGACATACAGAGTGATTTGTGGATTCTGATAAAAAATTCAATCAGTCATATCAAATACAGAGATTACCTGATTGGGTTCAAATTTGGTACATGCATTAAACTCGAAGGCTTCAACAAGTAGCCTTTTGAACGAATCCAATATCAGGACCGGAATATTATTTCTCTCCTATGTTTTGTGAGAATAACTCACCCTGTATAATAATCATCGATAATCTGAGGTCATATTATGAATGTACGGGAAAAAATCTATAGGAACTTGTTGAGAGAGTTTCTGGCACAATTTTAGCCATTCCGTAATAAATTATTATTTCTTTTCAAGACCGGAATAACTCTTTTTCATGTTCTTGTATGAGTACGGAGTGTCCCTAAAAGGTCCCTACAAAATCTCAGCACATATTCTTGATTGAAGCAACTTACCCCAGTCCGAAATTGCTTCATTTCCGAAATACAGAGAGGTAAATTCAATAAATGAAAATCGATTTTTTTCAAAATTTAGGGACATTTTTGAACGTATCACTTCACAAATTGGTAGCAGTGGCTTTTTGGGATGCGGAACCCGAATACGGACTCATTTTCACTGTGACCATTATAGAGGGCGCTTACCAATGCACTTCTTATGGTTCAGAAGGGCCATAACTTTTTTCTCAATGTACTTTTTCACTGTTTTTGTTGATGAAATCATTTTTCTAATATTTATAAGCAAAAAGGTTCTTTTGTGAAAATTTGCTAAAGTGAGCAGATTTCGAAATATTTCGATTGGTTTTAAGTGTTCGATACCGCACCGGGATAATTGAATTTTTTTTTGAATAAAAAATGCATGTTTGCTGTTATCTTTGTGGATGTAATTTGGTCAGTAAGAGGAGTATTGCAAAAATCGATTTTCCAAAATACTCTTTTGGGGCGTACTTGTTGATTTTTTTTGGAAACGGAGCAATTTCGGACAAAGATAAGTTGCTTCAAATCGTCCTCAGGACTATGTGCTAAGATATTGTACAGACCTTTTATAGATACCCCCTCAATAATTGACCTAGTATAAAAATTAACATTAATCTGATCGTAGATTCGGAATCAACTAAAAAAATCGTATAGGAACTTGTTGAAAACGGACTGGACTAAATTTTTCGTAAATTACCATTTGCTCACTAATGAATTTGAATTTATGGAAAAACAACACAAGGAACAATAATTTTTTGTGATAAACATAACAAAAAAAATCGAAATCCGAAAAAACTTCCACTATAGTATTACAATACAAGTTCCTATACGATTTTTTTAGTTATTCCGAATCTACAATCAGATGAATGATGATTGTTATACTATATAGGCAGTTATACTCACAAGAACATCAAAAAGGCTCATTCCACCCCTTATACGAATTTATTCTCCAGTATTTTCGGTTATAAGAGTAATTCATGAAATATTACTACGAGGTAATCAGATACGATAACAACAATCATGTCGTGGTTTCGTAAATATTCATTATATTTCAATTTGTGCTGATATTTTATACGACAATCAATGGAAAAAATTTAAATAATAATTTATTACAGAACAAACTGAAATTGTGCCAGAAATTTTCTCGACAAGGTTCCATAGTGTTTTTCCCGTCGATTCATAATATGACCTCAGATTGTTGATAATCATTATACAGGGTGAATTATTCTCACAATAACTCAACATAGGAAAAATAATAATATTCCGGTCCTGATATTGATTTCGTTCAGGAGGCTACTTGTTGAATCCTTTGGGTTCAAGTCATGTAGTCACCAAATTTGAACCCAATTGGGTTATCCCTGTATTTAATATGGCAGATTGATTTTTTTCAAAATCCATAAATCACTCTGTATGTCAGTAACAAAACGGTTTTGGACATTTGTTTATATTAGGGTATTTTGCATACATATTGGCAGTCCCTACACCCTGTATATTTTCCGAATCAAACCGATGGGACATAATATTATATCTTATCAAAATATTCGACGTTGAATCAGAACCACCCTATAAGCAGATTGACATTAAAATGAATACATATAATTTAAACCCTATAAGGAGGCTCAAGGTGCCTATCAGAACCTATACTATCAAATTATATATTATATTATTATGTACAGGGTGAGTCAATAGTGTGTTCTCCTTCGATATTAGCCAAACCGTCAGATTGATAAAAAAATCGAATACAACAGTTATAGGGTTTCATGAGAACTATCACCTAAAATTATGTTTATATCTATAGGGTGTTCCATTTCCAAAAAATCGGCTGATGATGTTTTTTTTTTCAAATGGGACACCCTATATATTTTTGCATTCTCAGATTCTCCCTGTAGAGCTGATTCCATTGATGTATCACAATTTGGGTCTAGCGGAAATAGAGATAAAGGGTGTTCAAAATAATCGAGATTTTTCATCTTTACGGTTTTTTGTGTCGAAACTTTACATTGATGGTCGGTCATAACGGCTTACATGTACCTATCTAAACGTTTGATTCATTATCTACTGACATTTATTGGGAACGAAATAATACAGGGTGGTTCAAGATTCAGAATTCTGATCACCCTGTTTCTGCTCCAATGTTCCAATCAAATGTCAGTAGATAGTAAATCAAAAGTTGAGATGCGGTCATGTAAGCCATTGACCATTAATGAATAGTTTCGACACAAAAAAAATCCTGAAGTTGAAAAATCTCGATTTTGAACACCCTATATCTCTGATGTAATCAATACTGCTAGACCCCTGGTGTGATACATTCATGAAATGAGCTGTTCAGGGAGAATATGACAATGCAATATGTCGAAAAACACATCATCAACCGATTTCTTGGAATTCGAAGACCCCCCATAGATATGAAAATAATCTGAGGTGATATTTCTCATAAAACCCTATCCTATAACTGTTGTATTTTTTTATCTATCTGACGGTTTGGCTAATATCGAGGGATAACACACTATTGACTCACCCTGTATAAAACCTCTTTTCTAGTTAGAAGACTTAGGTAAGTTATTAGGTTATTTGTCTCACGAGAATAAATGCGCATGCATCGTTTCGAGTTAATTTTGCTGCATAAAATACCATGAAATTCAAAGATTGGTGCTAATTATTCTGCATAAATCCCCCTTTATATTGCAAGATAATAACTGAAGAAAAATGTCAACCATTTTGTGCTATGGCAACTTAATATAGCTGAAGAAATAAGAAAATGCTAATAATAAATATTTGTTCCATATACCTTTTGCACCACCAAGTAATTTATGGTTTCTTCCTCTATTCCTCGTTCTCTCATCCATGTCACGAAATCATCCATGATGTAGGTATACAAGTAGGTAGCTATATATTGGCAATTGAAAATATATTAGTCAAGAAATAATAACTACACTACCAGAAACATCCTATCCGCGTATATAGAAACTTTACCGAAATAAAACGGACAGGGTTACCAGTTCGATTTTTATTTCATCAGTAAATACCTACTTTGTCTAAAATTCAGTGGATTTCAGTAGACTTCTTTTATGCTTGACAAATTTCAGGAAAGGATAATGAAATAAACTTATGACGTCAAAAAAATATGTATTTTTACCAAACAAAAAAAGTAAGTAACCTACTTTCACCAAAATTGAAATCAAACAAAACGAACATTATTATAAAAAGAAAATAAAGTGAAACATATACCTAATCCCCATTTTGAATGTACTCACAAATATCACAAAATGAAGTTACATAATAGGTAGGTACTTGTACTTATCCGATCGTTACCACCGTGTTTTATCGGTGGTAACGATCCGATTCGAGTAGGTACATAAAAGACAGAAATAAATGGTTAAAATAAACAACAATAAAAATAAGAAAACAAATGAAAAAAGTTGAACGTGAGGAACATAGCAGAGGAATGTAAACAATTTAATGCAATCTCAATTAGATGAAATATTGTCCTTTTTTATTCATAGTATATCATTAATAATATAATGTAAATTTATTACTTCTTTTGTCATATCACGCAAGATATAAGTGTGTGTGATTAACCAAAGAATGATGATAATAATAATAGACAATTATAATAATAAATGAGTGTAATAATTTTTTTCAGTTGATTACTGGGTTAATTAGGAAATGTTCCAGTAGATTAGTAGATCGATATGCAAATCAGCAGATCTTATGAACATTCAGTAGAACTGGCAACCCAGAAAACGGAGAACGGGATGATTGTCGGGTGTAGTCGGTAATACTCGCTGACGCTGTAGCAGGTGAACAGGCTCGGGGAATCACCCGTTCGGCACGAATTCAACCTGACCTTAAATGAGGCATCTAGCAACAGGGCGCAACAAATAATCCGTGCGGGAACAAATAACAAATTCATATAAAATTTATATAAAAAGAGAAGAAAGCAATCCTAACTACAAGGATTATTAGTTGAGATATTTGTTTGAAAACATCCTATTGCACGATGCCTCATTTCAGGTCAGATTGAATCCGTGCACCCGTTCGCTGCTGTGAATAACATTATAAGATGAAACTGATGAAAGATCCTCGGACATGCTCATTGCTCAGAATACTCATATAACTGTGTTATGTTAGACTTGATGAGAATGACAGAGTACCTACGATTCTATTGGACAATGATTTTAGAATGAATGGGACGTAGAAATTTATGTTTGCTTGCAATGGCAAAATGGCTCACATTATTTGGTTCGACTGGTTTGACTCACCTCCTTCTCTGGTAGTTTCTCGTTGACGGAGCACAAGTAACACTTTATTGCAGCTCACACAGTCAGAAATGAGTAGA